TGGTATACATCCTAAAAAGTGAGAGCCAGTATAAGAACAGATATATGCACACCCATCTTCATCACAGCACTATTTACAATAGCCAAAAGATGGAAACAACTCAGATGCCCATCAACAGAAGTACGGATAACCAAACTATGGTTTACACACAATGAAATACTATGCAACCCTAAAAAAATAATGTAGAACTTGCAAAACATTGCATAACATGGATGAACTTGGAGGACATTATGCTGAATAAAATACATCAATCACAGAAGGACAGCTATTGTATTAGTCCATTATTGGAAAATGTCAAGGAAAGGTTTATATACGAAAGGAAATTTTCTTTGTTGGCTACCAGGGGTGAAAGAGGAGGGGATGGAACCCTGGTAGATAGGCAGAGACAAGTATTGATTCGGGTAAAGGGAAGGGTAATGTATCAAATGTGAGTGATCAACATGGTGGCATTGAGGAAGAGGAAGACATAGAGGTGTGGATGGGAGGTACAGATAACAAAGATGAACCCATTTGCACATACAGTACTGTATTGTCAGTGACGGCAAACACTGATATACAGGTGTAGAGATAGGTAGATAGGCTGAACAATTAGGTATGTCTATTCAGGGGGGAGTGTAACCATGACCATCTAAAGGGTTGGAAGCAATGTTTCTACAAGTGTATTTGTATGTGCTGAAAGAATGTCCAGGTATATAGTAGAGCTGACAAGGGACAAGGTTGTAGCCACAACCAGCTACCCGGAGGGAGTGAGTAGTTGAACCTGTAGGCTCAGGACTGTGGTCACAGGGCACATCAAGCTCACATGGCATAACATACTACACAAAAACATCATTCCACATACTACTTTAGTGAGTAGCCAGTGGGATCTTAAAAGCTTGCAAGTGGCCATCTAGATACAATGATGAGTCTCTCCTCATCCAGAGCAAAGAAAAATGAAGAAAACCAGACACATGGAAACAATTAGTTCAAGCAACTGGTATACCATGCGATTCTCAGCCTGTAGGACTATGAGACCAGAAGAACTAGATGATGCACGGCTACCCTGTCAACCACTCAGAGGGAGATCTATATAGTAGATCCAGGATAGAGTGGGAAAACAATGTGGAACAAAACTCAAAATCATTTAAAAAAAAAAAGGGGGGACCAGGTTTGCTGATCTGATAGAACCTGGTGAAACCCCTGAGACTATGGTCCCTAGCTGCCGTTCAAGTCTGGAATTGAACCCACACCTGTGGCTTCCAGTCAAACAAAAGACAGAAATATCAGCTGAACATTTACATTAGGTAGATAAACTCCTTGGAGAGAACAATCACAGGTGAATAGAGGGGCTGTGTATGCACAGGGAGACAGCTCAGGGGGCAGGAGTGCATGCGGGGGAAGGACACAGGGAAGAGGTAACTATGGGGAGGAAGTGGGAAGAGAGCTGTTGCACTGTGGAAAATTGCAGTCAATGTTATGAGACAAAGTGTATGGAAACTACTGTATGGAAAATGAATTTGCTCTGTAAACTTTCACCCAAATCACAACAAAAATTTTAAAAACTACCAAACACTACTCCAAGAAACCATAAGAGATCTACATAAATAGAAGAACATATCATGTTCGTGGATAGGAAGATTTAACATTGTGAAAATGTCAATATTACCCAAAGCAATCTATACATTCAGGGCCACACTCTTTTGATGGGGTTCACATGGGAGGAAAACTGGCAGCAAGAAGCATGTGATCCATTTTAACCTGGTTTTAAGTGATAACATCCTCTTAAGTGATACAGAATAAGGTCCTATTAAGTCATAACATCATATTAACTTTCTTTTCTCCCTCATTTTTTTCCCCCAATGTTCCAATTTTATGTATGTGTGTCTTTTCCCTACCAAGACTTTTCAGGGGCCCCTTTTCACACATTTTCAATAGAGTTTTATTTCTCATTTTCTTTCTTCTAATTGACCTGCACCGTTTGGTTGCTGCCCTTTGCTCCACCTTTGTGCCCCTTGTTGTTTCTGTGATGTTTTCGAATAATCCCTGCTCCACTGAGGAGAGTCCATTTTGCCCTTTAGAGGCTTTGGTTTTCCTCCTGCCCTTGAGAACTGTCTTCCTGCAATTAAAAACCAAGTCTGCTGGCTCTGGCTTATTGAAAGGGAGCAGAGCTTTCTTCCCCTTAATTAGCCTCCTTATTAGACCATCAATTTATCTTCATTCTAATTGGAATTTGTTCTCCACATAAAAGCAGTTTTATTTCTTCAGAATCTGAGAAATTTCAAGTGTCTGGAGTGCATAATCAAAAACAGTAGTGCTTTTTCACGTTATGTGCTATAACTTCCATTTTTTTTCTGGTACTTAAGTCTTAAACTTTCATTGGCTTATTTTCTATTTTATGAGAATAGTCTGGACTTGGTAGAATTAACCAAAGAAGCATCCTTATTTACTTTAAAAAAAAAAAACTGAATTCACTGCCATGGAGTCGGATCTGACTCATAGTGACCACTCCTTGGGTTTCCTTCCGAGGAGTGGCAGGCAGATTTGAATCGCCAGCCTTCTGGTTAGCAGTCAAATGCCTTAGGCACTATGCCACTAGGGATCCCTTTTACAGTTCAGGTTTAATTATTTAACTTTGTAGTGATAGTTTGTTAATATCTAATAGAAAAAAATCTAGTCTACCCTCCAAGAAGAAATCTCTTTATTTTGGGGAAGATCCTTTTCTCCTTCTCCCTAGAAATGTTCCATGATCTTTCAAATACTAACTGATTATCTTGCATCTTTTTTAAAAAAAAAAAAAGAAAAAATTAAATAATATTTAAAAAAAACCTAAACCTCATCACTAAGAGGCTTCCTTTCACAACTAATGAGCAGGAAAAGCTCCATATGTAGCTCCTTTTGTCTGAAAAAGAAATTCTTTCTTCACTTTTGGTCTTGTTTCCCTTGTCAAACTCATCTCTGGAAGCCCTATGATTGGCACCTCAAGGGGACCCCAAGTAGTCCATGCCTTCTGTTATTCACACCTGTATATAATCCCTTCACCTTGAGTGTAGGCTGAATTTATCAACCCGTTTGTAATAAACAAAATACAGCAGAAGCAATGGAATGTCATGGCCAAGATTGGGTTGCAAAAAGACTGTGTTTTCCTTCTTAAGTATTCTCTCTTTCTTTCTCATTCTCTCTTCCTTCCTTACCCTGAGGGAAGCCAGGTGCCATGATGAGCAGTGCCTTATGGAAAGGTCCACATGGCCAGAAACTGAGGAAGGTCTCTGGTCAACAGCAAAGATGGTATTGAGGCTCCCAGTCCGACAAGCCACCTCATCTAGAGGGGTATGTAGTGTACTTATTGTTATTTTCATTCTAAAAGTAAAAAGATAAGGCCTGGAGATGTTAAATGCTAAGTCTGAGGTCACCTTGAAATTTAGAAGCAGAACCCCTAGAAATTAGGTTTTTTGAAAGAGGAAACATGGTGTAATGGAGATCCCAATTTAAATCGCTTCCACCAAACTGTGTGGCCTTATGCAAATTACTCAACCTCCTCGAGTCAATTCCTCATCTGTAACATGGAAATGATTCCTACCTTATAGAGTTGCTTAGACATTGCTACTGATCCAGTACTATATCCATTCCATGTTTTAACTTAGTTGCTACTACTTTGCAATAGGTTCAAGATAAGTACAATATCATGTTGTTGTTGTTGTTGCTATGTGCCATCGAGTCAGACCCTACTCCTAGCAACCGCTCCTTGGGTTTCCGAGGCAGTATCATTATGGAAGTAGATTGCCCAACCTTCCTTCCGAGGAGTGGCTGGTGGGTTTGAACCACTAGTCTTCTGGTTCAAACCACTAGTCAAATGCTTTAGGCACTACGCTACCAGAGCTCCTAATAATATCATACGCTTTTTATTTTAGTTGATAAAAATAACAAGAACATGGTACATTTAATTGCTGATAATATTATAACTAGCCATTTCCGTTTAGTCCTTTGTTAAGATGTCAATAAACTAACAAAAATATCACCTCTCATTAACAGTCAGAATCTTTCTCCGTTTGACTTTATTTCACATCCTGTCATAAATGGGATCAATATCCTGTGACATAACTTTGGTGTTAGAGAGCATATTACTCACTCCACTATTTCTAAACTGCTTACAAGTTCAGAAATAAGAATTTATTAGGAAAAAAAGAGCTTCCATTTCCAAAGAAGTATCTACCTTGTTTAAATAAAACAAAAACATGGCAGAAATAATCACGCATGCATAAGAAAATTAATGTATGTAAATTACTTTGTAAGTTTAGGTTAACGGAAAGATAAAACCCTAGAAAAATTCCGTTTAAAATATATTGGCCAAGTACTTTTTAAAGGTAAGAAGCAAGTGCTCTTAACATTTCTTTGGGAAAGATTTAATGGCAAAACAAATGGACATAAAGATTCCTAGTCTTAGTGTTTCAAATAGTCATTTGCAACACAGAAGAACTGGATGCCAAGCACACTTCAGAGATTAAGTTGTTGTTGTTGTTTGCCATCGAGTCGGCCCCAACTCATAGAGATCCCTCCTTGGGTTTCCGAGGCAGTATCACTACGGAAGTAGGAATGCCCAACCTTCCTTCCGAGGAGTGGCTGGTGGGTTTGAACCGCCAGCCTTC